AAAGAGTATTGCTTTAAACGTTCTTGTTGAAGGGCAATATGTGCTGAATCAACTTTTTATTTTCAATGTGCTTTTAATCATATCCAACCAAATAGTATGTGGAGCGATTCATCCTTTCGAAAGTTTATTTTTCCTTTTGTTGCTAGAGTGCTTGTGAACATTGAACACACCTCTCCAGATTGAAGCCTTGGGCTGTTTTCCGTCTGGTGTCCCAGTCGCAATCACAAACTCGCTCATTCATTCAGCCCATGCATTCAAGAAACCACTGCTCCATCAATCCCTGTTTTCACTGCCTCCAACAGAACACCCGCCCACTGTTCCTTACATACTTTGATTTGTTCATATTGTTGATTTATTTCTTACCTTTTGTTCTTAAATTTGTAATAAAATAGGAATTAATTGGCACATTGCACATTTGAACATGTATATGAAAAAATTGATTTGCACAATGCTATCATGATATATTCAATTTTTTGAAATATCCAAATACATGATTCTCCTGCCAACCTCAGGTTCCCTTCTGTGAATGTTGGCTTCACCATGGAATCTGAATACTTGAATTCATGTGATGATCCAGGATACTCAACATTCAACAACATTTATGGACATTAGTCTTTGTCCCTTATGGGCCAATGGAGCAATGTGTTTTTTGGTCAATATTGCCTGCATCTACCGAGGATTTATTCTTACTGTGGATAACAATATCAATAATCTCCCTTTCCTCTACCGGATTAAGGAACATTGAGTTCAGATTATGATCAATATAACAATTGATGGGAGGATCAACTTGTGGGATCTGTTTGGCCAAGTCTGGTCATTGAATTTCTTGTGTTTGAACTTTTTGATTTTCTGATCTTTGTTGACAAATTCAGTGGTTTTGTAAAGTCCTCCGAGATAACAACTGTTGTGAAAGGGCGATTTATTGTATGTTTCAGAAAGATTTCTATTTTGTCAATTAAATCAGAGATTTCAACCAAAGTCTCGACCAATCTCTGTTGGGGAAAACACTTCAAAAATAAAGTTGATGTTACACTGTAGTGTCTAGTTCAGATCCTGCCTCAGCTTTTCATTTATTTTTCACAAAATGATCTTCCTGGGGGGAAGACTGCACCCTATACAGTGTAGAAGGAGATGATGACTGGGCTGAAGTTTGTGCGCAGCCAAAGAAAAGTTGAGAGAGAAAGCAGATATGACTTGGTGGGAGATTGCTGAAGTCTATTACTGTGCGCGTGTGCGTGTGTCCGCACGTGCGTGTGTGTTTGCTATGGTCAGATGGGTCACATGTTATTAATAATAATACAGCTTGACAGAGAAAAGAAAAATGACCCAACATTTTCCGAGATTGTCCTGTACAGTACTTTTCTCCATCCACCGTTCCATCAACTTTGACTCTCTTCCACAGAGATGGGGACTCGAGTCCGACTTAAGTCGCTATTTTTAGAGACTTGCGACTCGACTCGGACTCGTCCCCTAAAGACTCGGACTTGACTCGGACTCGTTGTTTTCGGACTTCCGAGTCCTGACGCTCCAGATCCAACCATTTCACAGGCTGGTAAGGGAGCGCGCTCTTTGGCTGTGCGCGCTCTATGGTGGTGCGCTCTCTTTGGCTGTGCGCGCTCCTCGCCTGTGCGCGCTTTTTGGCCGCGATCGCGGGAATGCACGCATTGACTCATCACTATTAACGTGAACCTGGCCCCCCATCATACTCAAAATGTTATAAAAAATATGTCAATCGTTTGTGCTACGTTTGTGCTGTTTTGTGCTGTAAATTTTTTTGTTTGTGCAGTTATCGTTTTTGAGATATTGATTCTTTTATAGGTCAATCTAAGGTCACCCAGCCCCTCATTTTGCTAAAAAATGCTCCAAAATGGACGAAAATAGTGTCATTCGTTTGTGCTACGTTTGTGCTGGTTTGTGCTGTAAAAAATTACGTTTGTGCTGTTATCGTTTTTAAGATATTAATAATTGCATTTTTAGACGATGACGTCATCATACTTTTTCGAAAATGCGCAGAACTGACTGAGAATGGTGTCTATCCTTTTGGCTTCGTTTATGCTGTGCATATATTTGGTTTATACAGTTATGTTAAACATTGGCTGACATTATGTATTTCTGACTTTTTTGAAATGTCCCATTATCATCCTGTAACAAACATCAGTTTTGGTCTGTGCCCTCACTGTAGTGACATGTTTGTAACCAGGGCCGGAGTGGGACAACATTTCAGGCCGGGAGCTTTTCATCCATTCAGGCCAAACAAGGTTCTAAATTTGGGTTTTTGTCATTGTATTTTGATGTTCTTTTAATAGTTTTAAGATTGACTGTCAAAACTTTTGTTTTCTTTATTTTTTTTTATATTGACTGTTTATATAATCTCGGACGTTTAAGGATTGTTGTACGTTGCTTAGCAACGTAACGTTTATGGAGTTTAGTGAGAATAAAGACACACACACACACACACAATGAACTAAGTGTTCATTAGTGTATAACTATAACAAGCTAATCAATTATTGTTAAAAAAGTAGTAAGGTAAAATCACATCGTTACAGCTCATATAAAAGGAAAAATAAAAACGTGTACTGTATGAACCATCAGTTGGAGAGACCACTCATTTCAACCGGGGAAGCTACACTGGGTGCACTGCTAGGCTGGCCTGGCTGTGTAGCCGACGTGTGACGTCACATTTGTTTAATTTTGCTCTGGCCCAATGACAGTAAAGCTTTGGCCAGTGTTGTGCCAGTTCACAGCTTTTCTGAACTAGTTCAAGTTCAGTTCATACATGCTCAAAGTGAACAGTTCACGTTCGAAGTTCTCAATTTTAATTCTGAACTAGTTCAAATTTCAGTTCATTTTACTTACTATATTTTTTTCACTACGAGCTAGAAATCACAATACGTGGTATATATATATATATATATATATATATTATATATATATATATATATATATATATATATATATATATATATATATTATATATTATATCCTGTACACTGCACAGGATGTTTTGACTCCAATGCAGACAAGATTTACATGGGTTTCAATGGGAACTGAGTTGTCCCATCTCTGCTCATAAGTACTACAAACTGTAATGCGCTGCAGAACGTGTGTCTATACTTTATGTCAAATGTAAACGGCCCTGTGTCACTGACTTACCCCTGTGTTTTCATCACGGCACATGTGAGTCCAACAACCAATGAATAGCACTAGCATATAGCGCCGCACCGCAAGTACACTGAGTCGGGGTGCGTTCACAGACGGTGGAAACCGTAGGAATTTTTAGTTTCGGCGGAAACAGTGCGGAGAATACAGGAGGGAGGAACTTTCTCTCGTTGCGTTTCAAAAGAGAAAACAGATTTCACTCAGTTTTAAATGGAAAACAAATTTTCTGCCGTTCATGACACATAATATGAACTAATTCACGTTCAAGTTCTTTATTAAAAAATGTGTTGCGTTCAGTTCAACGTTCACGAAAAAATGAGCGTGTTCAATGAACGCGTTCTTATGAACTCGTTCACGCACAACACTGGCTTTGGCCTGGGCCTTGCTCATTGGACCAGGCCACCAGGCAGGGTAGGAGTTTGCAAAGACCGTGAGGATGAAATTAAATTAAAAGAAAAAAAAAAAAAGAAAAAAAATAAAGACCGTGATGATAGGGCAGGCCCAGGCCACTTTGACACGCAGGCCACCGGGGGATCTCCCGATGCTCCTGATGGCCAGTCCGGGCCAGTTTGTAACTCTGTAACGTGGACTATTGCACTATTTTAATTGTTGAAACTGCACACATCCTCTACAGTACGTGCTTCTGCATACTGTATAAATAAACGTTTTTTGTAGCAGTGCAGTACAATTATTTCATATATTTTAGTTCATTTTAAATGGTGTGGCCATAATTTTAATGCATAGGAAATGAGACTTGGACATGCGGGTCCAGGGACTTGGACTTGACTTGGACTTGCGGGTCCGGGGACTTGGACTTGACTTGGACTCCAGGGCATGGACTTGGACTTGACTTGGACTCCAGGGCATGGACTTGGACTTGACTTGGACTTGCGGCTCCAGAGACTTGGACTTGACTTGGACTCCTGGGCTAGGGACTTGGACTTGGAATATCCCAGCAGAACCTGCAGGGGGTGCTCGGGTGAATGTCATGAACACAGACAGTCCTGCATGAGCTCCAGCGGCAGCAGAGTTCTCAAGTCATGCACCGGCGACAAAAGAAATGTTATTATTAGTTTATTATAGAAACAACAATGTGATAAAAAATTATACAAGCTAAAAACAGCAGGACATTTTCAAAGATAAGTCACTCTATGTGCATGCCTGACGACGGTTGCTATGTTGTCATGGCAACCGAGCTTATCTTTGTGATGTCATTCCAGAATTTTGGTTTTAAAAGCTTAGCTCAGAAAGTTGAAAACAGGCTAAGTGAATATCTGTCCTACAACAGTGTATTATTTCAGCACATTGTAGAAAGAGAAGCAAATACAAACACAGACAACATGCAGCGTGAACATCCCAGTGAAGTCCACAAGACTGACCTGTCCCTCCTGTATGAACTGGCATGTCTGCACCAGCTGCAGCTGCAGTTTATTGTCGGAGATGATGGGAACAGTAATCTACACACACACACAGACACATGTTTTATACTTGGCCCATGACCAAGAGAGGGAGTATGGTTATGTTATTGTCATAGGTGGTCATGGTCCTTAACCTACACTGTTAGACCAGACTGTAAAAACAGCAGTAATATACCACTTTTCAGCCAGTATGACACTGTAAATACCAACTGTGGTAAAAAGCTGTAATTTGCACTGCATCATGGGAAGTTTAACTGACGACATCCACAAAATACAGTATTTTACTTCCTATTTAAAAAATGTTGTATGGTACTGTATTTTTTCCCGCTCATCAAACTCCTTTAACAAGCGCACTCATTTTCACCCCCGAAACACTGCGCAGACCAGCTCACCACGCGCCCATAAGCAGCAGCCGTTGAGGAGAGCAACATATTGGAAATACCCGGTACGTCTGAATAATAATAATAATAATAATATTAATACTAATACAACTGGGCTTACACTGTGTGATTTTAGAGACGCGAGTCGTGCGGTCCTGGCGCCGTGGCAGCACTATACTGACGCCAGACGAGAGCATTTGAACACGGGGAATACAGCAGCAGGCCCCAGGAGGACGGGAGACACAGAGCGGGCAGTGAGGTGAGCGAGGGATAAAGACACTGATAATAACGTCCTCCTGAACACAAAGTTGGCAAAAGTTTAGTGACTATCGGCTAATTTAAGCTAGGCTACTTGTCGTGTGTTGCTAAGTTAGCCTCGCCAAAGTGATTTAATTGATGTAGACACGGTGTTTGAGAGGATGATGTGACAGACCAAGCTATCCATCCATGGCATGTCACTCGTACAGTGTGAGCAGGTCACTCGTGTGCGTTTTTGCTCCGTACAGTGAGAGCACCTGCATCGTGGGTTCCTACATTTCTCGTGCGATTCAGTGTTAATTTTTAATGTTGGTTTAGTGTTAGTTTTAATTTAGTTTTAGTCTTAATGTTTTGACTAAAGCAGAATTTAATTTTAGTCAAAGTTCTCTTAAATTTTAGTTTTAGTCAACTTAGAATAAATATTAGCAATGAAAATTGACTATCATAATTAATCAAGGTCCTCTGCTTTATGGAGCTTTTCCCACATGAAGAAAGCTCAGACGCACAGTATGAGTTTAGCTTGTTCTAAATTGTGTCTCAAATCACAGTGTATGCCCAGCTTTAGTTGATGTTAAATTCTGATGAGGTTTACCTTAGAAAATATCACTCTCATCTAGGGCTGGCTCAGTACGAATATTATCTTCCAGTTTTAAGCTATTGTAAGTTTGAGCCTGGTGACATTTTTGTGAGGGGAAGGCAATATTGGCATTGGCTAGCTAGACAATTGCTTAAAATATACCTGGCCTAGAAGATTGAACGGGAGGATTAGCAGTCAGTCAGGCATATAGCTACTTTGATGTCTAAATGTTACCCTGTTGACTCGCTAGCGTAAGAAGTCGTGTTTTTGTGTGTGAAATGGAACGGTGAATGTCTCTGAGTCTACGCCTGACGATGTATTGTTGTAAGCATTGTGGCTACCGCACAGCTAATGTTAACACATTTTTTGCCCATGTTAAAATTCACAGAAACTTGGCTAACTACAGGTTTTCATGTGGTATCCAGGTGTGCTCGGGCAACTTCAGGACAATTTTGGCATTAAAGTCCCATATGCACAGAAATCACGTTCCTGCTGTGCAGCTGAAACAAAGCAGGTGTCAATATAGCGGCGAACTTAAATGCACCATTGAAGGATGCAGTTATGAGGCTGACAATTTTTCTCTGCTATGCGTTCATTTAAGAACACATATACGCAATGGCAAAAAGGTGAAATGTCCTTTCGAGGGATGCTCTAAATATTTTAGAGTGAGGACATCATTTGCTTCACACTTATCAAGGAAATACAGGCAGTCCTGTGCAGAACAGACACAGGAAGATCCTTGCATACATGTTGAAAATGTCCAAGTCCATGATGATGATAATGAAATGACTGATCACTCCCCTGATGGTAGTGAAGGACTGACCCCAGATTTCAACCCCGACACTTGTTTAAAGAACGTTGTTCTATTTGAAACTACAGGCTAAACTGCTTTTACCAGCGACTACAGTGCAGTGCATTGTTGAGGAATTTCAGGAGGTGCACAGCAGTGGAATGAAGCATTTGCTTAGCAAGGTGGAGGAAAAACTAAGAGGGTTGGACATGGCTTATGATGAAATCCAGAAAATAGTGAAGGAACTTGAACAAGAGGATCTTTTCACTATTTATAATGAAGGTGTCTTGAGGTCTGATAAAACTAGGAAAACATTTTTCAAAGAAAAATTTGATTATGTTTCACCTGCTCAGATGTTCTTGGGAACAGATAAGACTGGTAAAGAACGATTCTGTCAGTATGTGCCTGTGAAGGATACTCTTGTTGCCTTGTTTAAGCAGTCAGATGTGAGAGAACAGTTTGTACAGTCTAACTTGCATGTGCACAGTGATATGGTTTTAAATGATGTACATGATGGCAAATATGTGAAAAGAAATGTCATTTTACAAGGAGCATCACCATCGCTGTCAGTTATTCTGTACCTGGATGCCTTTGAGGTTGCAAACCCTCTGGGCTCTGGTAAAAGAAAGCACAAACTCATGGCCATGTACATGACACTAGGGGAAATATCACCTCACAACCGTTCCGCTGTTGATCCCACACAGCTTGTTTTGCTTTGCAGAGAGGAGGATTTTAAGTTGTTTGGTCAGGAAAAAGTATTTTCCCGCCTTGTTGCTGACCTAAAAGACTTGGAGGAATCAGGCTTTCAGTTACAGGATGAGAGTAACCTTAAGGCATCACTGATTGCCATATGTGGGGATAACCTTGGCTCTCATGGTGTTGGGGGATTCACTGAAAATTTTAGCTCAAGCACAAACTTCTGTAGGTACTGTTTGATTGATAGAGAGACATTTGTCAAATCACCACTTGCATTTGGACCACAAAGAACACCAGAAAATTATAATGACAGTGTTCAACAACTGACCCCTGACCAGAGTTTGGTAGATGGAATCAAATGCAATTCATGTTTCAACTCCCTGGAATCTTTTCATGTCTGCTCTGGCCTTCCTCCATGTCTGGGGCATGATCTTTTCGAGGGAGTTGTGGCAAATGATCTGACCCTGTATATTCAACATTTGGTAAAAGCCAAAAAACACTTCACATATGACCAGATGAATCGAGCCATCTCACAGACAAAACTCCTTGGTAGCGACATGCATAACAAACCATGTGAGATAAAGGACAAAGCTAAAAAACTCAGTGGCTCAGCCACACAAAATTGGTGTCTGTTACGGCTGTTACCACTGTATGTCAGCAGGTGGATCAAAGACCCTATGGAAGATGAAGTTTGGCAGTTGTGCCTCACACTAAGGGAAATTGCAGAGTTAATCTGTGCTCCAAAAATTCATCAGAATGAGGTGGCTTATTTGAAAGTTGTGCTAGAGGAATATGTCTCTTTGCGGAAAAGCATGTTCCCTGACTACACTCTCAAACCAAAGCATCATTACTTGTTGCATTATCCTGACCTTATCCTCAAATTTGGACCTCTGATACGTTTGTGGACCCTTAGATTTGAGAGCAAGCATTGTTACTTCAAGGACTGTGCTAGAAAACTTCACAATTTCATACACCTAAGTAAAACACTGGCTGAAAGACACCAGCTCCTTCAGTCATACTTAGGGCAGGGTCATTTATTCCCACCTCACATTCAGATTGCAGGTGAAGCGAATGAAATTGATGTGCAGTCATATAACAGGGACATACAAATGGTGTTAAAAACATCTGATGTTGAGAAACTGAAAACATCTGAACTTTCAGCAGTCACATATAAAGGGACCAAGTACACTAAAGGCCTTGTTGTTGTCCTTGAGCACACTGGGGAAGCTTTAGTCTTTGGGAAAATATCGCTGATACTTAGTGACGAGAGAAATGTGTTCTTTATTGTTTTGGTGCATCACTCAGTTTTATTAGTTGATCTTGGGATCTACTACTTGGTGTCGGATGATAAGTATGCATTGATCAATGCAGATAGTCTGCAAGACTATTATCCACTGCCAGTGTACAACATCTTAGACTTCCCTACTGTTTGCTTACATCACTCAGTATGTTCTTCATTCTAGGGATGGAAGTCACATGGATTCAGGAAGTCATGAGAGTGCTACCTGAATTAGGTCTAGACGATGAGACGTCTGTGGCTCTGATTGAACACCTGTCATCGGAGATTGGTGTTAAAAAGAAAGAGGACCTTGCATTAGTTGACCACAAAGACTTACTACAACATTTAAAACCAATACAGCGCCGCAGGTTCATCCAGGCCTTCAAACCCATAGGTGAGAAAAATAATTCAGTCTATGAAAAGTAACCACTGATGTCGGGATGCTATTATACCAGTACTGGGGAGGAGAAGTAAGCAGATATTTAAGTCATAAAGTCAAATGTTTTTGCTCAGTTTGGAAAAAAAAGTGGTTTGACCATCATATTAACCCTTTAAGCGCCAAAGTCGCAATATTGCGACAAGCAACATTGCTCACTTAAACAGGCTGTATGTAAAGATGTGGTGCAGAATCTTGTTAATACTTTTCACTAGGGGTTAGTGGACATGTGTGCCTGTAATATGAGCAACATTTGTGGGTGTGGTTATATTGAACGTTTTTGAGTAAATTGAGTTCGTAAAACACCTGCGGCGCTGCAGCGCGGAGGCGAAGCAGCAGCGGTAGAGCTGAGAGGAGCGAGAGCAGAGCAGAGGGAGAGACAGTGGCGGCCGGCCAATAGAGGGCGCTAGGGCGCCGCCCCACCACTCACAACTTGCCATGTTACCTTGAATAAAACGTTAAAAAAAATAATAACATTAAAATATTTCGAAATTTATGTGTGTTTTATTTCAGATGTGGAAGAAATACTTCATAGTTTATGCTGAGTTGGATTGATTAAGCTCATCAGCGTTGTCTGTGTCGGACTGAGGACGTATTTCCGCCTCAGGGCGCAAAAGATTGCGCCCTGAGCCGTCTATGGACTCTCGTTAAAAGTTGTACATGCGCAGTAGCTCCTCTTCAATGCAAGAGATAAGACGATTTGGGGGCGCAGGAGAAGTGCGCCCTGAGGGGGCGGGATCGCCCGCGACCTGTACTGTCACTGTCTGTGACGTCCGTTTACAGTGATTGACAGGTCAAGTTTGAGACGAACGTAAAGAGACGCAAAATGGAGAACGAGAAAAAGAAGAGAATAATTCAGTTAGATCACTCAAAACAATACCGTTTGAGAGAAGATCATACCAGGAGAAGGTTGAGGTTAAAGAGCTTGGACCTGATCAGCCAAATATTACCATTAGTCAGCAGTCCAGCGACAGGGGGAGACGGTACACTCGTACTTTTTCCAGGACCTGGTTCAGCGCCAAATCTTGGCTAGCAGCATGTAGCGAGGCTAATGCTTTATTTTGCTTTCCATGCCTCTTGTTTCAAACATCAGGATCTGACCCAGCATGGATCAAGACAGGTATGACTGATCTGAAGCACTTTTTAGAAAAGGCAAAGAAGCATGAGCAGACTGGTATCCACATGCAAAATGCCCTCAAATTAGCTATGTTTGGGAAGATAAATATTTCATTCTCGTGTGAGGCTTCAGTCACAACAGTCAGTGTAAACTTACTTACTGCTGGTATATATCTAGTCATCATATTCATAGCCCCCCCAGTAGAAAATTCCACCAGCCGCCACTGGGGAGAGAGTGTTTTTTATTTTACTCACAAGGTCTTCAGTACCAGAGAAGTACTTGGTCTGGTACTGGCTCACTCAGATTCAGAGGAGGAAGACACGCAGGTGTCCAGTGAAGCAGACACGGACATTATTGGTGACGGGGAGACCGCGCTCCATATAGTCCACAATCAGCCCCTGTGCAGCGGCTGCTTGTCCTCCGTGTGGCCGCGGTAGAAGCATTCTGTGAACGCCAAGCAGGGGCTGGGGTCGAGGGGACAGGGGGATCATAACACCGGACATGTGGGAGAAAGTAGCGGGGGTAAACATCCACGGGGAACACGGGAAACGCGGGAGAAGTCGCGGGAGAGCCGCGGGAAAAAAACACATCGCTAATCGCGTTCACTGCCTTTACCAGTGATGATGAGGATGAAGGCAGTTCTTGAGAGAAAATAATCCACAAAAGTGGATTAGAAATGTTGAAGAGCCTGTTGTATGTTGTTGAGACGATCTGACATGTTCTGTGCCCATTCATTTCATCTCTCTGTTTCTAAATGGTAAATTCTGGAGCCTCATTTCCACTGAGAAAAATAGTAAGCTCACCACTTCTTTGAAAGGGGAATATTGAAACCAATCTCCAGATTTCATGACAGTAAACTATAAAGAGTGCTGTCTTGATCACTGAAGGTCTTTGAAAATAATACAATTCCATATGGCCGCAAACTAGTGCTAAAACATTATCTATAATCTGGATCAGGGAATTTATTTCTATCCCAAATTAATTTCATACTAAAGATATTTCAAGTTGACTGTTTATAGTATTCCCTGATCTCAAATAACTCCCAAGCTACAGCTTTTTGAAGTCTTTATACAATAATTAACATTTTCCAAAATGGCCGCCACCTTGATGACGTCATAATATGCAAATTAGATGACGAATCAACTTCCATCCCAAAGTTTGGTTCAAACTGAAGATATTTCTAATTTACAGTATGCCTTTATCTCAAACCATTTTAAAGTTATAGCCTTTTGAAATCTTGAAATCAAAATTGTATATTTTCTTGAACAAACTCTGGCGCCTAAAGGGTTAAGGTTTTCTCATCTGTAAACTGTAGAAACTAACTAAGTTAAACTGATATGTTTGTGTATTTATATCCTTACAGTGCTGAATGCTGCTGATCAGCTCATCACTCTCACCACCATAGAAAATGAGACCGCATCCATCCCAACCTTGGTTATGCAGCCTGTTCTTAGAAATGCCAATGATACACCTCCTCATGCACAATTACACTCCCCTGGACCATCCTCGTCAAGAACACAGAACTCCTGGATCAGTCAGTTTGTGATTCCCTGGGACAAGATGCCTGCATCACTTTTGCAGGCAACATTAAGAAGGCAGAGAGCGAAACCTGAAGACCGCAGAGTTTGGAAAAGAACTGTGGTGAGTGCCATGCAGGAATATTGTCCAAATCCCAACAAAACGGCTTGTGACGAGATTGCCAAAATGATCGTGTCTAAATACCCCTGGACCTTCGCAGACACAAATGAGGACGGTGAACAGTTAGGAGTAGGTTATTTTTCTCTTGCCAAGCAGCTGAAGACGAGAATTGAACATGTGAATCGAAATAATACAAGCAATAAAATACGAAGACCAAGAATGATGGAGACCACTGATGAGAGAACCAGGACCACCACTACAGTACGTTGTAAAGTAGACAGCTACGGCTGTATTAATTGGCAACCAAAATGTCTCCCGGAAGGAGAGACTTCTAGCTCCTTGGAAGATAGAAGGAAAGACATGTTGGCCGTATTCCAGTCTGTTGGACCCCGAGCTGGAGACAGGCCTGATATTGACGAGTCCATGAGACTGACCTACAGTAGGTCCCATTCCGTTTTGTCGTCTTCATTCACGCTTCTCGGGAATCACGCAGCTGCGTGAAAAATAGTACATCTTATCGCCACAAGGTGGCAGGCTAAGTCCGCTTTAGCTCTGCCAGCGACTTAGACGCTCAGGTATAAGACTGCGTGCAAACCTGTGGTCAAGGGACTTCATGGTTACATAAAAAGCCCCATTTCCACCTGCTCTGCTCTGCTCTGCTCTGCTCTGCTTTACTCTGCTCGGCTCGGCTCGGCTCGGCTCGGCTCTGCTCTGCTCTGCTCTGCTCTGCTCTAATACATCTGGTTGTATTTCCATTGCGCTTTAGTATATGGTACCGTATCTTAGCAACCTAAGATCCCAATCACTGTAAGTTAGAACACTTTAGTACGGCCTGGATAGAACCAAGACCAAGAGGGACCAAAGAAGGACATGGTACTGGTAAATAGAAGTGATGGGAATGCTCCCAATCAGGGTAGAGTAGAGTAGAGTAGGGTAGGGTAGAGTAGAGTAGAGTAGAGTAGAGTAGAGTAGAGTAGAGTAGAGTAGAGTAGAGTAGAGTAGAGTAGAGTAGAGTAGAGTAGAGTAGAGTAGAGTAGAGTAGAGTAGAGTAGAGTAGAGTAGAGTAGAGTAGAGTAGAGTAGAGTAGAGTAGGAACGCAAACGATCCTGGAGAAGCTGGCGGGAGCCCCGGGAGAGTTTTCCCGGACGCTGCCCGGCGGGTCATGGGAATAACGCCCCCATGCGGGGCTGCCCTCCGGGGCTCCCCCCGCCCGCTTTGGAGAGCTCTTGGGCGGATGGCCCAAAGAACACAGAGCTAAATGTTGAGCCCGGGACTACCCTACCCTACTCTACCCTACCCTACTCTACCCTACCCTACCCTACTCTACTCTACTCTACTCTACTCTACCCTACCCTACCCTACTCCCGGGCTCAACATTTAGCTCTGTGTTCCCTAAACCTTTTGTTGCACTGTGGCACACATTTAGTGGTTATAACAATAACGATGGAATAACCACATACAGTAGGTCCCATTCCGTTTTGTCGTCTTCATTCACGCTTCTCGGGAATCACGCAGCTGCGTGAAAAATAGTACATCTTATCGCCACAAGGTGGCAGGCTAAGTCCGCTTTAGCTCTGCCAGCGACTTAGACGCTCAGGTATAAGACTGCGTGCAAACCTGTCTAGCCCAGAGGTGCTATGTTGGCCAAATGGATAACATTAGAGACTGGGACCTGGGAGAACCCAGGTTCGATTCTTGTCTGAGGCACATCTTTTGGTTGCTTGTGGCAAAATTGTTTTTTCATTAAACAATTATTATATAACATCTTGTCTTTAATGTCTGAAAAAATCGAGGTGAAAGGTTGAGGTTTCTATCGAGGTTTCTATTGAATGCTATTTCTTTCTTTATAATCTTTATCTTTATAATACGAATTGCATTAACGTATATATTTAAAATAATTATGTATTGTCTATAGAATTCTATGCGAATTCGAAAATAAAGACATTCTGAAAGCGATCTGCCTCTCGTGATTTTTTAGTGAGGTCTTCTTCTGGTATTTACTGTTTGGCTGAGCAAAGTTTTAATAGTATTGGTTGAAA